CCGAGATTTAAGGAAGGGACGTGAATGTTCGAGAAGGACGTGGCGTGATACTAGTCACGTGACCTCTGCTGACGCAAAAATTACCATTCTTTTGTCAGGCTAAGTAAAAATATTTTTGCTAACAATACTCTTGGTAAATATAATTTGTATCTAATAAATATAACTTTTTTGCAATAAATTATAAGCTAATTTATTTGTGTACGTTATTGAATACAATACACTTAAAAATAATATTCAATAACTAAGAATTTGAGTCATCAGAAAATTTTGCCATCGTCTACGTACTGTTGTTTAGTTGTTATATGTTTGTTATAGCGCAAAGCTACACAATAGACTAGCTGCTCTCTGTCCACCACGGAGAAGTAAACCTTGAATTTTACCGCTGACCCACTGGGAAATCAGATGATTAGAATAAGCTATGAACATTTCATTGTTTATAATTGTCCCTTCAATGGTGCATTTAATCTTTTTTCTTTCTTTTTAACCACAAAAGAAGGATATAATTGTGTGTAATAAGCAAATACCTGCAAAAATAAAATTCTTGATTGAGTTATTTCACTTATTAAAAATATAAAAACAATTAAAAAGCAATGTATATAAAAACTGTTACATTTTTTATTAAATCAATGTCAGAGATGCCTCAGAATGCATCTCAAAACAACCATACTAGAAACACTGCCTAATACTCAGACTGGTCTCTTCATTACTCTTATGGAATAATCAATAAGAAATCTGCCACTACGATAGAAAATACTATTGCAGCAATATATAGTTTATTTTTAAAACTCTGGGTTCAGTCTTAGGACCTTTACTCATTTTGATTCACAGCAACTACATAGATGAAGGAATGATTAATAAATTACTTAAATTTGCTGATGTTAAAGTTTTGGGTGTTGCTAGCTGTGAAGAAGATGCTGCTGATTTTCAAATAAATGTAGATCATTTAGTGAGTTGGGCAAATAAATGGCAGATACGTTTTTATTATAATAAATGCTACATGATTCCAAATTATACTTATAATTTAAATTATGATAACCCACATGTGTTCTTTTTAGGATTAACTAATTAATTAGTGTTAAGCGTCTTTTTTAGGACGAATTAATTATAAATGATTTAAGGAATTAATTTTATTGATTTAATGAATTAATAGTAAGTGCCCTTTTTATGACGATTTAATTATAAACAAATTAATTAATTATAAATATTTCAATTGTATAGTGTTCAACATCCTTTTTAGGGATGATTTAATTAATTAACTATCGAATTAATTATTAATTATATTCTTGTTGAGACATGTACTGTATGAGCCATGGGTGTCTAGAAACATGTTCTCTACTTCATGGTAGGAGTATTTAATTATTAATTAATGAATTAGCCTTCACTGTCCTTTTTAGGATTAACTAATTAATTAGTGCTAAGCGTCCTTTTAAGGACGAATTAATCAACTAACGAGTTAGAGTTTAATGTTCTTTTTAGGATGATTTAATTAATTAATGATTAATTATTGACATAATGAAACATGTATTGTATGTGTCATGGAGGCCTAGAAACACGTTCTCTACTTTGTGGTACTATTACGCAATCATCCATCATGGCCACCTGCCTGATACCGAATTGTAATTTCAACCCTCCATAAGTTAGTCGCACCCTCTGTTGGCACTTTGTTGAACTATGACGTCTTTATCTTTGATGATATCATCCCCTGAGGCAGTATCCTTTGGACGGTGAAGTGCCTCCCTAACTACTAATGCGTTTATGCACATAACTGCATTATTACTTTTCATTTAATGGTTGACTACTGGAATAATGAACTTTATTAACTAAATTATATATCGTAAAAATAAAAATTCTTATAAGAATAACAAATAGATTTGTAATTTTTCTTACCTGAACTGCATCTCAAGCACACATGCGCTAAAGGGCCAAGTAAGAAACCCTTAGAGTTCGGGTATACCATCTTTTAATTTTTAACTATTGACCAGAAGTAAGGCAGCTAGCCAGCAGTATTTGTTGCCACAATGACTTTGCCCGGCTTTTTGAAATGAATAACGAAATTGACTATTATATTTATAGCGCATCCACAGCTGCAAATCAGAGCATTTTAGTGGCTCGAATCTTCAGCCTTGAACACTGACACGCTAATCACAAAAACCAGCAAGACTCCAGTACAAAAAATAACTATAAAACATGAAAAAAAATCCATTTTTTATGGCCTACCTCAAATAGTCTTCTCTTTCTTGTCTTCAGATGATTAAATGCCGATTTTATAGTTTATCAGAAGATAAGAAGGAGGTAGAGAAATATTTGAGTTTTTTTGTTTTGTATGCCAAAAGAAAACCAAACACAAAAAGTGCATATAGATGCGTTAAAATTGTTGTCACTGGCATTTCAGGTTTCACTGAATATCGTGGAATATCAGACTCATGTTATATTTATTTCAATTATTTGAGACTTCTGAGTTATTGTAGAGATATTGAAGTTTTAAAATAAACAACCTTTTTTTTTTGTTTTGTTGTGTTTTCACTTTTATTCATATGGTATCTAAAACTCGGGCTTTATTTTTTTATAAACAAAATGTTATAAAGTTTTAGACTTCCATAATAAATGCGATTTTTCTTTGGATGATCATTAGTAAAGCACAAGTCATTCTGACTATTTTTAGAAAATTCATTGATTTTGACGAAAAAAATCTAAATAGTCAAAATGCCCATTTGATATACTAAAGAGCAGATATATGTATATATATATATTTTTTCTTACTTTTATATTGGGTTCTAATCGCTTATGCCATCATTTCTCTCTCTCTCTCTCTCTCACACACACACACTATCTATTGGCTCGTTTATATGTAGCCTCACTATTGCTAGACAGTCTTTTTGAGGGATCTTATTCCAATACAGGTTACAAATGATATACGTAGAACATTCTAAATACGACCGATAACAAAAGCTATCAAATCACTCCATGACCCCAGATGGCAGTGCTCTATTCTGTTCACCACGGGGAACCGAATCCCGAATTTTAATGTTGTAAATCTATATATTTACCGCTGACTCAGTGAAGGACTGGTCATATAATTACAAAAATAACATAATTATATTCAACTCATGGACAACACCAAATATTTTAGCATTATTACAAAGAAATAATTTATATATTGTTGTTTTCGTGTTACACACAGTCGATTCCTTTATAGTTCTGCATGGTGACGACCACGTAGAATTTAATTGAAATACAAGCATAAGCGGTGTCTTCATTCTTAGTACAAATATTTTACTGTAAAAAACTGAACAAATGTATTATTTCTGAATGGTACATTAAATTTTATAAGATTTGAACTTTAACCCTGATTTCACGTAAAAAATGTATCTCAAGTTTCAAGCATTGGATCGTTTAAAAAAAAATTATAACATTACGTTCTTACATTATATTGTTCTGCCAGTTCCTAAAGTGAGGTTCCTGCGTTCATTTGCTTGAGAGTGGTGATGGAAAGTAAGCGTTGACAGCCATTCCAGATGAAGTAAATAAACCTTTAAAAACTTTTAGCTAAGAAGCTCATACACAAATTATTTACTTATAAATGCCCCTTTCAGTCCTGTATTTTTTCTTGTGATAATACTTGATTGACTTAAGTGTGAAATTATTCTTTTAAAATAAGTGATCTTTGAATGGGAACGAGTAACTCAAGTGTTATATATTTACTTAATGTGTCACTCAAACAACACTCATTTAATTACAATAACACTTAATCAAGTTAAAGATGTCTGGTGAAAATGTTTCCCTTCGAACTATAATTGCATAAGTATAATTATCTCGATGGGAGGGAAAAAAGGAAAATTTTCTGTGAGTTAGACGCATGTCATAGGTTGTTTGAAGCCAAGGTTAGTTTCAATCTAATGGCAAAAACGTTGTTACTTTGCTGACACTACCAGCTGGCGTTGAAAACCTGAAGTATGAAATGAGAAAACGAAATGATTTAAAATAGCTAGAGGTTGTTTACCCACCTGAGGCAGCGACTTCTTCGATTGGTTTATGTTGCTCGTGTGCCATGAATCCAACTACAGAAAAGATGACAAATCCAGAAAACATAGATGTCCCTGAATTGATACACGAAACGATTAAGGCATCCCTAGAAGTAAAAAAAGAAATAAAGTAACAAAATATTGCATATATCACGTTCGCCTTTAACTTACAAATTAGTATTATGAATAATTGATTTTCATTTCAAAAATATTCGATTGGAACAAACCTTTAAGCTTTAAACTCAATACAGCCATGACCAGCACCATTTAGTCCTTAAATATCTTCTTAATGATAATAAAATCAAATGTGAAGATAGATTCTGGAGAAAGCTTTATCAAAATTTGTTTTAATAAAAAAAAAAAAACGAAATAAGACTTCAAGTAAAAACTGATGTATTTCAATTACCTTTATTTTGAAGTATTAAAATCAATTATTATTTTTCTATATTTTTTAATTTGTACCTTATTAATCTAATGTTAGTAACTTTGAACATATTTCATTTACACGAAGATTAATTAAGCCAAATTTTTTATTCTATATTTGTTTTCTGTATCGGCTATTTCCTGTTAGGTTAAATTACTTCTTCTTGATGAAGTCTAATTTTCTTTTCTAATACCTCAAAGTCTAACTGAAGTTGTGATAAATGAGTTCATAAATATTCATGAAAGTTTAAAAATACAAGCAAATTAATAACAGTAAGAGGGAGGAAATAGTGTGACCCCCCTAAAAAAAGTAATTTATTTTATGTTTAAAGTGATGTAAAGTTCTATGATGGCTTTAGCTTTCTCGTATCAGTTAGTTTTAGTTCAAATATTTATATAAGTTTTAATTTTAAATTTTCGAGACAAAAGTGAGTCGTTTAAACTTTTCAAATGTGTGATATTACTGTTAAATTAATAAAGCGTCAAAATTTGAAAAATAATGTGAATCTGCAGGAAAAATCATCTTCTCAACGCAGATCAAAACTATAGAAATGTAACATTCTGTGCTACTCGAGCATGGAATAAAAATTTTACCGCCAAGTAGGAAATATTAGCAATAATACAATGATAAAGATAACTTCTGAGCAGTCAACATAAAATAATGTCACAACTACAAGAGTAAAATATTTAACCTACTGTGTATGTACTAGTAAAATACAGTTAAGGTTATGTCAATACTTCCAAAAGCTGTGAAAGTACCCAACAGAAAGGCATGTGTGAACATGATCTTACCAAAGCCTAACATCTCACTCTCACGTCCTCTTAACCTTAAGCAGGCAGATTAGCTGCACCCTTAACAAAATAATTCACGTTAAAATTATATTTAGCAGGCTCTGCTCTCATCTCCTTCCCTCCCCCAGTGGTACAGCGGTATATCCGCGGACTTACAACGCTAGAATCCGAGTTTCGATACCCGTGGTAGGAAGAGCACAGATAGCTCAATGTGTAGCTTTGTGCTTAAATGACAAACAAACAATCTCTCATCTCCTTCCCTCCCCCAGTGGCACAGCGGTATATCCGTGGAGTTACAACGCTAGAATCCGAGTTTCGATACCCGTGGTTGGAAGAGCACAGATAGCCCAATGTGTAGCTTTGTGCTTAAATGACAAACAAACAATCTCTCATCTCTTTACAACATTAACAATCTTACAACCGTTTATTAATGTCCTAAAAGACCTTAAAATCCTAACCTTCTTATCATTTCTCCAGACAAGGGCCATGTCGTTATGTAGAACAAATATGACTACTATTCTTAATGATCCGACCAAGTCAAACCCTCATCGTTGACGTTTTCTTCTTACCTCTTAGAACGAGGAATAAATCCAGCGCATCCCCGTAATCGTAAAAATAAGTGAATATATATATATATATATCACATCCTATCTGTAAACGAGTCTATAACATAAAGGTCATAACGTGGCGCTACCTTTCGCTTCATTCTTTCTTCCATAGGTTCACATTCCTACAAACAAGTAAAATTTCTTGTTCTCCTTCTTAGACCCTCTGTCTACTGATTTTGCTGTTACAGATTCCTTTGACCTTGCCCATGAAAATAATTTTCCCCTCGCTTGTTAAATTAAGACCAGTTTTAATGTCCCTTCTCTTTTTACTAATTTCCATGTTCATGAAACTAATGGCAATTCCCCCTCTAATATTTCTAAAGACAATGTCCAACACGAAAATTGATTAAATTATTAAAATTGTAAATACTTACTTACTTACTTGATTTCGCTGTTATAAAAAATATTTTCAACAAAAACGTATTTGACCAGATAGACAGCATAGCTATGAGATCATTATCTAGCTCAAGACTAATGCTAAATATATTTGTATTTTGTATTTATGGCAAAACTATTAAAGCTCTCTGCTGTCTTCTCTAATTTTGAACTATTGAACAAAGGGAAAGCAGCCAGTCAGTAGTACCATGCTAAGGAATTGACTGCTACCTTTATAACGCACCCACACTTTAAAGTCAGGGAATATTTTGTGGTATTGTATGGATTCATATCCGGCTCTGAAATTCAGTGCTTTACCACAGGACCAATCCACGTCCTGTGAAAATATATGACTTGACAACATGTATAAATGATACTTTCAACTAGTACAACACTAAAGACTACAATTCACATTATCTTGCAATCTTAAAAAACAACAGCAGTATTTACTTCCTTTAGGCCTTCTTGTAATACTTAACCTCAACTGCTTCTCGACTTCTGTCCACCACCACCACCTCGAATAAAAGATGTTAGCTGTTTATTCCCACCATTTAACAGCATCACTCTGTTTATCTCAATAATGTCTATTATTAATAAGAACCCAATGAAAATATAGAAGAGAATGTAATAATAAGTTATCCGCGTTATACCTGCTATATCCAATACCCACGAGGCTTTTTAGGTCGTCTGGGATACAACAGAACTTACTTGGATTAAACAAAACACGTAAGCTGTGGTCTTTCTATGAATATCTACACAAAGTGATAAACTACTGCAAAATATATTGATAAAAAATAATTTCCCAACAACCTACTGCAAAAAAATAATTATGAATCTTTTAACAGTCCATGTGAACAGTCTCTTGCGATTATCATGAAGCTGTGTTGAATTATTCCTATCCTCTTTTTTTAACAGAAAGTAATTTTGAAAGAAAGAAATCTTATCGCTTTTCCACTCTCAGGTCCAGTCGATAATCAAGTCCTTCTTTTGGCTCGACAATATCTTTTGTTTTAAAGACCACTATTTTCACAGGCCTTTCAAAATCATACATATGGTACCTATCAAACTATCAATATTTCCAAAACAACTCGCCACCTGAATGCCAGAATCCAAGAATATCAGTGGATTTCGCCGTTGAAATCTAGAGGTTTTGTAATCCACTCTCATTATGAAAACACAAACCACCACTCTAAGGAAACAATTCATTTTCAAAATTTTTATCTTTTGCCATTACGATACGACATTGGTGTTGAGAAAAGACTTTTGTTACCACCACCACCAGTTAAATAATATGATAAACTCATATCAACTAAGCCTGTTTTTTATCCTATCTATGTACAAATGTAGATGTATGAATCAATGCAGACTTAGTTTTATTTTATGTGTTTTTGATGCAGATATACATATTTTACTGGTGAACATTTCTCATTTATTAATATTATTGCTCATAGTTTTTATTTGTGGCTTTATTTCGAAACATTCAATTGTACAGAAACATTCTTGGTCATTAATAAAGCATCTTTTTGTTGCCCTTCTCTCATATCAAGATTTCCGCCCAATTAATATATCATTTTCAAAAGTACTGGTTTAATATATTTTAACCCTAAAATTAAGAAACAATCGTATAGAAATTACAGATCTTTCGTCAACCAATAAACATCACTAAAATTGCCTTCCGTTTGTTTCAATATTTTGATGAAAGCTCATTGCCTCTTGCAATATACTTTACCATTAGAATGCCTGTTTTAATGTCAGAAAGTGTTATGAAGTTAGGTGTAAGGAACATCGTTTGGAGTTGCGAGAGATGAGAAAGCAGCTGGTTTTTGTTCATTCTCTAAGAGATTATGGTAGTACAGCACACTAAGTCATTAGTAAATTATTAAAGTGAGCGGCCCCTTTCTTGTTCAGCCACGTGGAGATTACGGGGCCCTATGATTATGAAACGTTATAATCCTAATTGTGAAAAACAGACGTATGTTAGAGAAAGGAATATAAAATAGCAGGTGTACAAGTAAACGAAAGAACCAGGAGATTTGAGAGTGGGTGAATAAACCGAAAGAGACGAAACAAGAAAATAATATGTCGCCAATAAGAAATAAAACCTAGTTCTAAATCTATTTGTAATTGATTATGGTAATAAGCAGCAATTCATTATTTTTACATTAGTATGTGTCAATTACTGATTAGAATATGCACAACCTAAATAATGTAGATGGTTAAGATGGAAAAGCGAAGTGCGAGTGCAGCACGATCGTAACAAAATGGTGTCAAAGCGATCTATAAGAGCAAATCATAATTACCATGGCTATGATATTGCCTTTTGTGCTATTTTTATATCGAGAAGTTCCCCAATCGAAAACCAAATTTTCAACCTTTGAGCTATTATATGGTAGAGATGTTAAAGATACACTAGACTTATTAAAAATAAGTTGGTCCAGAGATAAAGCCGACTTATGAAATATGTTAGCATATGTGACCAGTTTCACATGGGGGATGAATGAAGTTTATAAAATTGATTTATCAAAGGGTTATTTCCAAGTTGAGTTACAGGAAGAAGATAAAAAGAAAAAAGCGCTTAGGCTTAGAGCTTAGGGAAGTCAGCCTCAGCTTACATAAGTGAAATTGGCATGCACATTAATAACTTGGATGAGCACGTAAGAGTGTTGAGGGAAGTGCTAGACAGGTTGAGTAAACCAGGCTTAACAGAAAAAAACCAACTAAATGCGAGCTTTAGGTAGATTGCATATAGCATCTAGGGCACATGGTGCGTAAAGGACTTATTGCACTTTTAGACGCAAAGGTAAAGCTATTACAGTTTGGGAGAAACCTATGACAAAGAAAAGAATTAGATTTTTTCTTGAGATGGTAGAGTGTTACAGAAAGTTTATTCTCAGGTTTGTGGAAATAGC